AAAACAAGCACTTGATTTCCTATTTATAGGAGTGGAAACTGTCGAGAAAAATTAGAAAAAGTACTTGAAGCAATCATTGGTTCACTTGAAAAGGAAACCAAGAGCTTGCAGAAGGCCACCCAAGTATGAGAGATGCATCTTGACTATGAGATGAAGAGTATTGGCAATTTGTAATCTTCGCAGCTTCACCTTGCATAAAGACAACCCCATGCCTTCACATGCTCTCTGCCTTCCAACAAGGAAAAAGTGTTACTGTTGCCGAAATCCCAAATACTGCAGGAATTACCCTGTGGATGATTTCATTAAGCTTCACAACCGTATGTGCTTGTTTCTCAGGAAAAAAAATACTAGGGCTTGCTGAAGTCAAAAAGCTGCCAAGAGGGGGTGAGCATCTGGCTTGGTGCATTTTGGGCACCAACTCCCACAGAGGAGTGTCCGGAATTCACACCCAGTTCTGGCTCCTGACTCCAGCTTCCTACTAGTGCAGGCCTAGGGAGCAGCAGTGATGGCTCAAGTAATCAGGTGCCTGCTACCCATGTGCGAGATCTGGATTGGCTCCCAGCTCCAATCCTGGACAGACCCCTGGCCTGGGCATGTGAAGAGTAAACCACCAGACAGGAGCAGTCAGTGGGGAGTGGGGGATCTGTGCCTCTCAAATAAGAAAAAACTCCCACCAAGTGGAGAGAACGGGATGCAAACTGGAGTCTACCTGTCCTCAGTCGCTAACCCTGCCTCCCACAAGCCCATCTGCAAAGTGCAGAGGAGAGTAAGTGGCACAGTGTAGGAGACAGAATTCCTCAGAGGGGGAGACTCAAGAGCGAGCCTGTCTCCCGAATCAGTCTCTAAACCATCGCTCGCCGTTCATCAACCATTACAAACGAAGTTCTCACACCAGAAAAAGCTAAGTGCTTTACGTGAAACAGACCGAAAAGATACAAATCATTTCAAATGACAGGTTAAAGACAGTGATTCAAGCGCAGGAACCCAAACGATACCAATCTTGCCAAAAGAATATTAAAGGTTTGTAATAATGATACTCAGCACAAATTTGCAACTGCTGCATGGGAGCCTCCATTAGACTGACTTTTGTTGACAGAGATGAAACAGTGAGATGTGGGGAAGATTTTACTACAGTCCTCGCTGAGTGTTATGTTCTGGCTGCACTGAAACAACATGAGATAGGTGTGTGGTGTAGCAGTTGAGATACTACAGGAGACACCTGAATCCCATACTGAAGTGCCTGGGTTCTAACACTGGCTCCCGTTCGGATTCCACCTTCCTAGTAACGTTCACTCTTGGAAGCAACATGGCTCAAGCACTTGGGTCTCTGACACCAGGCGTGAGACCCAGACTGAGTTCTGGGCTCCTGATTTCTGCCTGGCCCGCATCCAGACCCGGCTGTTGTGGGCCTTTGGGGTGTGAGTCAGACACTGGAAGCACGTGCACTCACTCTCACCCTCACATGTGTGTACTCTCTCTCTCTCTCCCTCTTTGCCTTCTAAATTCATAAAAGAAAATTTTTAAAGACATGGGTATTCAAAAACAGATGACCTGCAACTATGTTTCACTTGGATCCCTGCAATGTCTGAACTGATGTATTACAGAGAGCTGTGACACCCTTTATAGGTACATTTTCTCTGAAAAAGAAATTAGATACACCTGGGATTACAGTTAGAGAAAAACGAGATTAAAATACAGACGCTATGCCTAACCACAATGCAGGAAGAGTACTGTCCCCAGGGTCACACCAATGCAGGGCAGACAAAGAAGGGAGAAAAGAGGAAGAATTTATGTGTCAAAGAGAAACCACCAGAAGACCAAAGTAAGCCTCAATAATACACTTGTTCAGTGTCTCACAGCTAAAAGTAAGAAGTAGGAACAGAGTTCACTTCTGGATTGAGAAAGTTCTACAGGCAATGTTACCTAACTGCAGTTCCTTGGAAAACATGAGAACTCTCTCTCCTTAAAAGAATGTATTTTAAGAATATATTTAGAAAAAAATAAAGTTATAGAACTGCTCATCCAAATTTCATGATTAAACCAGAATCCTCACTTTACAAACACTGAAGTCTAAAGAGTTGAAAGATTCACCTAATTCCTAAAGAAAACACGAGCTTGGTTCTCCTGACTTCACAATTAGTGGTTTAAAAACCAGGCCCATGGTCTCTAAGAAACATCACAGATGTTCCTATTTGACTTCAAAATTCCACTATGCCCAAACAGCCTCAGAAACATTCATGCATCCCCTTGCTACCTGGTGCACAGGATGAATTCAGAAATACAGATGGAGCCAATATTCAAAAGGTGTGGACGTTAAAGAAAAAGTAAAAATTGAAAGGAGGATTATTCTAAAGAATGAAAGAGCAAAAATGCATGTGTGATCACTGATTGGATTCTGAATATAAAAAAAATTTTATAAAAGGCAATATTGGAAAATTGTAAAAATGTTGAGGCAGATTGAATTTTTAAAATATTACTGCACCAACATTAATATTTTGAACTCTAATAATGCTGTGGTAAAGTAAGAGAATGTATCCCTGTTCTGGGAAAAACATGCTGAAGCCATCAAAGGTGATGCATTCCTCACAATGACTGCAATGCAAATAGAACACTCCACTCCCTGCAACAAAACAAAACAAACAAAAAAAGTGTGTGTGTGTGTGTGTGTGTGTGAGAGAGAGAGAGAGAGAGAGGAGAAAACAAATGAAAATGGCAGTGATTTTTAAATGAAAATCTATTCTTTCAACTTTATCTGTAGACTTAACATCTTTAAAACTAATGTTAGGAAAAAAATAAAAAATAAAACACCTAGTGCAGAAACAACTCTCCCCCCAACAACAACAACAAAAAATACCTCTAAGGATTATGGCAGCAGGAACACAAACACACAGCCCAGAATGCTGTCCTATATTCAAAATAAACCTGAGGTTCATAATGGCTAAACAATATTATTCAAAGAGCTGCCCTGAATTTAACAGGATCTTCCAAAGGAGCAGCAACCTAATTATTGTTACAAAGTCCCCTGCGGCTTTTATGAAATATAAAACTGGCTATAAAAATCAGCAGAAAAAAAATATGCAGGTTTACCTTCCGAAAATGTGAACAATCATAAACGTACGGGCTGGTTGTTAGCTGCCCTTTTCATCAAAGCATTATAGTTTTTTCATGACTAAACGTGTACTGCTTCCCCTTCTGAAAGTTAGGTAAGACCAGCTTTCACAAGTCCTAACTTGAGGCTGGCATAATATACTTTCAGACTCACGCATAAAGCCTGCCCTGTGTTAACTTTTTCATGACCAGACTTCATGTGCATCACCAGTCAAAGCAGCACCGAGATATGGATGGACTGACTTCACACTGGAACCTCCAGACACACAGCTTACTGAGTTATAGAGGAAGTGGAAAAGCCCATTCCATACCAGGCCTACCTCAGCAGGGAATGAACACCAGCTCCTCTCCTCCTTAAAAGCAAACACATACAAAGTCAAGGTGCTTCATCATCCAGGAAAAGCTCACAGGTGCCTCTGCATACTTAGAAGAGCCTACCGCAATCCTTTCACAACACACCCCTTTCTCAGCATTTTTTTTTAAAAGGTGCTCACAACCAGGTAATATAATCGTGAGTCATCAAAACAGAGCAGTACACGATCAACATCAGCCTTGCTCTACAATGCAAAAGGAAAAAATCAGTATTAACTGACTCCAGTAAGAAAAACCAACTCAGTTAATATATGTATTAAAAAAATTCAAGGCAAATTGCAGAAGCCTGCCAAATATTTATCCAAATAAGCTCTCTCCTGTAATTTTACACCCATCAGTGGAAATCGGGAGTGGTAAGTCTTCGGATGTGCGGACAATGGCTGAAGTCCTCAGCATAACATTAAAGGGGCTACACAGGATGCTCTCCGTTTGGACGGATGGCTTGTACAACTGGGCAGTTAATTATCCTAGTGGCAAGACTCCAAATTATGAGCAGAACAACACTCATAATTGAAAAATTGCAATGAAAAATGACAAAACACTTGATTGAAAAAGGACAAGTGTCCCAGACTGAGGTCTGTGTGTCATAACCCTCCTGCTCGAAATTCAAGGACCTGGCTTCCAAAGCTAAAAGCAGAGTCCACTACACTTTGTAGCAGAGCTACAAAGTAGCTCCATGAAGGATTGTTTGGAAAGCTAGCCAACTCCTGTTAAGATCAAGCCATCAATTAGTTGGCTAATTTTTATTCAGAGGACTAGCCAAATATCATACCTAATCCTCTCCTAAAAAGAATGGAAAAACACTAAAAGTATAGTTTCCTGTTTCTGCAGAAAATGACATTATAAGAAACATAATTCTCACTCTTCCATTAGCACTTAATTAAACACAGTTTTCAGTACGAACACAGAAAGAAAATCAATAGTACATAATTTCCCAAAGGCATAAGTAAGCAGTAATACGTACTTTAGGTTTACTAACTTCAAAAATGTTTTCATTTATCTACATCAATAATAACAAGTTTTGACTTCATTTAGTGACATTTGGTCTTACTTATTTTTGTAAATGCCGCACACAAGTATCTATCTGATGTTCTGGAGATTATCTGAAAGCTTTAAAAACAACTGCAAAGCAAACTGATTGGATTATATGGATCTGTTGGGTCAGATTCAAGAACAACATTTGGTAGATTCACTGATTCCATCCCCTAACTTTAAAATATTCTGAGTTTTTACAGTCGTATACAAGCAAAAATACATATACAGATCTGATCAGATTCTTGAACAGCAATATAGGTTAGCAAAGTTATCCATTACTACTATAAATATGTTTTAATTTTAGTCTTTAATAAGTAGGGTAGTAAATTTTAAAGAATTTATCACTCATAAAATATATCCTATTCCTTTTAATCCAAAATGTATCTAACAGGAAAACTGAAAATTACATATATTCTAATTTGCATAACGAAGCTCCTTCCCACCCCCCACTCCAAAGCAAAAAACCGCAAAACTGGATTTGCTTAGTGGGACCCACCCTGAGATTTTGTCCTGTGCTCCTTAAATAGTCTCTGGTATTCTAAGTTCCAGCCTTGTGTATTCCCTTCAGGTGAATCACCGTCTGATTCCTGCAGGTTCAGGAAATGCTCTTCCCCAGTCTACAGACCTCACCTGCTAGTAGATGTGAGTCATTCGCCTGGGCAGGAGAGCAAGCTGCCGCTCCAGTCACTCCTGAGCAGGAGGGCTGGAAAGGGTGCCCAGGGGGACCGCCTCAGGAGGGGCTGGCGAGCACCTTCTCCCACAGGAGAGAAGATGCTGATTCCCCATGCTTCCCCAGAAAAGCCAGGTCCCTGTCACCCTTAGCTTCAAGGCCTATTCTTCATTAGAAATGAGAAGCCAGTTTCAACTCGAAGACACCCCTGTCAAGTGAACGGACAACCAGCCACCGCAATGAAAGGTAAAGGAAAACGTTTTAATTTTTCTTAAAAGTCATGGGTGATAGGACGCAGCACTGGATAAGGCTGTAATTATGCATCTGCTTAAATCTGCGGGCAAAATAGAAATGAGAATGCTGACGGGGTGAGGAACTGCAGTCCTTCCTGGGAACCACCACGTTTTGAATTGGGGAACTTAGAGCTGCTCTGTTTGGCACGGGGGCAGGTGGAAGTCGTACACTGCACGCGGTACCGACAAAAGTGGGAAAAGTGTTTTGGCAGTCATTTCTGTGTAGCAGAGTTTTTCTTGTTTTTGCTTTTTTTAACCACCTCTACTTTATTAGATAGGTATAATCCAAAGCTCCTAATAATTGCTTCTCATGAAAAAAACTTAAAATTTGTTTCATAATCTTATATCCACTTTTTTTTTTCTAAAAAAATAAGGGGGGGATGCAAAGAAGAAAAGAATTCTGTCTCATCTTGATAAAAGAATCTCAATCTTTTCATTGTACCACAAAGAACAGGGCTACCCTATCCTGATTCCTCTTGAATTCGTGTTAAAACACGTCAGGGAAGGTGCTGAGAAACCGCTCTGCTGCCGACAAACAGGTTGGGAACAGCTTCGTGGAGTTCCAAGTTCAAACTGCCAGGGATGTTTTCACTTCGGGAAGGAAAACCTGAAGTCAGCACTGGGATTTCACCTCTTTCAGGTTAAAATAAGGACCTTTAAACCTGGGTGAGCCTGAGGGAAGGTGACTCTCTGATTTTACCAAGTTAGGATTTATCTGCTTTGGAATTTCATATCATATTCTCCGGTTGAATGGGCTCTCACGGCAGGTGTGTTAACATTCTGAGTTAACACTTTTCTTTCACGGTTCTCACTGGGGACTCCCAGTGATGAACACGGCAAGGAGCAATGCATTTGGCTCTACGTTATCATATACTCGGGGAAGAATGGGGCAGGCACCCTGTGGGTGGTGGTTATTTCTGGCCCCAAATTTAACCATCCCCAAAAAAGTGAGAGATCAGGCAAACGCCATCTTCTAAGTCCTTCAGCCGACGCCTATACAGAGACTCTTGTACCGATTTGAAGAGTGTTAGGGGTGTAGTCGTGAGCTAAGGAGAAGGGGATAAAGGCGCAGTATGACCTGAATTCCATACTTACAGAGGTAGCTTGGAAATAGAAAGTATTAACTCAGAACGGCGTATCTATTTCATACAGACGCCAAGGGGGAAAATTCCCTCCAAGAACGCTGGAGGGGCTTGGCAGCTAAATGAAAGCGCAGAGTTTAAACTTCAGTTTGTGTCCCGTGAGAGTCCGCCTGGTTTTCTTCCTTCCTTGATATCTTAGCATCTCACTTCCTCAAAGCTCTGGACTCTGAGAAACGGCACGGAAATTTACAACAGACAGCAGAGTGCCCACTGGCTCTCTGCATGCTGCTAACCTGAGGAAACCCCATGAGAGTCCCTCAGAGCCCACTAACAACGAGTGGTGAAGGCAGGGCAGAAATGCAGTGAACGCCTGGCAGAGTTGGGCCCTGAAGGGGGAGGGGGGTGCCGGCCTCTAACTGCCCCAGGACATCACACCCCTCCCTAAGGACTAAGACAAGAGGATCAGGGGAGAAGAAGGCTGACAGCCCCTTAGGTTTCCAGGCCCCAGGATCCAGGGCATGTGTTGAGGTACAAGGCTTGATTATCAAGAACCCAAGTCTCAGGGAACTGGGCAGAGCCAAAGATGAGCTCCTCCCTCACCTGTCCCTAGCCAGCTGTGTGACGGTATTCAACTCTCAGCTTCTCCTGGTCTCCAAGTCTTCCTCTGCAAGACGGAGAGGAAAGTTCTAATGCCAGGGCCAGCTATAGTTCTTAGAGTTGTCAAACCACTGGAAGTGGGCAGGCTAGAGCAGTGGCAGATGCGCCTGCTGTTAAAGAGGAGATGAAGCACATGGAGAACAGCGGGAGGACCAGGAACGGAGCCTCAAACCTGCTCCAGGCCAGTGCTGAAGGTCAGGACGTGTGTGCCGTCCTGCACCGGATTAGCATATCCTGCTTCATTAATATTCTCACGGTCCAAATAGGAAAACATTTACACTAAAATATATTGAAAGAAGCACCAATCAAGTTCCACTTAGTGTAAGACATCGCATTCAGTCATTCCTATCAGTGATTCTATACTGTCTTACATAGCAATTTCTAATAATGCTTATCAATTTGAAATGAGAGGATAACTCCTTAAAATTACTTCTTCTAATGTATCAAAGAGGATCCATAGGGTGCACACTGTCCTTCTAGCCTTAATACTAAAACAACAGTTATTAGCAGACACTAATAGTTTAACATGCATTAAGACATTATACATTTTAACGGATATTTAAAAACAAAACTTCATACAACCTTAAAGTGTATATTACTATGATTCCATTTTACTGCTGAACAAACTGAGCCTGAAGCAGCATACCAGTATGCAGCACACCTCTGACCTTCAACCATGTCTGCCTGCAGTCAACTACACTCTTATCCACTACTTCTTAAATTCTGGGTAAACTTACTACTTGCCATTGGTTACCCCTCTTCAGCGGGTAGTATAATAAGTAAAATGACGGCCAGCGCTGCGGCTCACTAGGCTAATCCTCCGCCTTGCGGTGCCGGCACACCGGGTTCTAGTCCCGGTTGGGGCGCCGGATTCTGTCCCGGTTGCCCCTCTTCCAGGCCACCTCTCTGCTGTGGCCTGGGAGTGCAGTGGAGGATGGCCCAAGTGCTTGGGCCCTGCACCCCATGGGAGACCAGGAGAAGCACCTGGCTCCTGCCTTCGGATCAGCGCGGTGCACCGGCCGCAGCGCGCCAGTCGTGGTGGCCATTGGAGGGTGAACCAATGTCTCTCTCTCTCACTGTCCACTCTGCCTGTCAAAAAAAAAAAAAAAAAAAAAGTAAAATGATGTATGTCAGTTGTGTGTTTACCAACTACTTGACAACAGTAGGTAAGTGGCTGTCTTGGATGCACCATGCCCTGCAATCATGTCGGAGCTACTTTGCTTCCTGGTTTTCCCAGAGACAGGAGATAGTAATCAGCACCACGGGTGGAGGCAGCAGCAGAACAGCAGGAGAGTGCACAGCACTCAGACTGACTTGTGTTCAAATCCAGGCTCTGCCGCTCGCTAGCTGTGTGAGTGCGGGCAAGCTCCAGCACGCCAACAAATAGCATGTATCTGGAACTCCTCTAAGCTTCAGTGTCTTCCCTGAAAAGCAGGAGTACTGATTCCTCCTAACACTCGAATAGCATGTCCATACAAAGTTCTCGCAAAGTGCCAGACGATCAATTTTGTGGTAATACTTCATTCAATTCTCAAAACAATCCTATGGGGAATGTTTTACAGAAAAGGAAAATGAGGCAGAGAGTGCTTAGATAACTTGTCCAAGTAAGTAGGAGATCTGCAATGTGAATCCAACATCCTTTTAATAAATTAAAATACATGTAATTAACATAGAACCATCCTAGGCACACAGTACTACCAGCCAGCATTTGCTGAACTTTTCATCATGGTGGTGGTAGTGGTGGCGCCTAATGAGACGGATACACAGGCAACTGCCAGGGAGCGGCTCATCTGTCACCTGAATAGGCTCTCAGGCTGAAGACAGTACTAGCTTTCAGCCACCAGCACAATTCTCTAGAGGACACAGAATGAAGAAACTCTGCTTTTCAAGTCCATGATTCTAGAAGGCATCCCTTACTAAACACACAGTGATACAGGCTGTTTCCCAAGCAGAAACCAGTATACCACAGGGTAGCAGAAACAAAACCTCCCAAGGTTGCCACACTAAATGATGACCTGGTTGAAAAGAGACAAATGTTAACAGAAGAACACCTGGGCTGGGGTGGGTGTTGAAGCCCAGCAGGTTAAGTCCCTGCTTCGGATGCTGCATCCCACACCAGAGCACCCGGGACAAAACCTGGCCTCTGCTTCCCATGCAGCCTCCTGTTAACGTGCACCTGAGGAGACACCAGAGATGGCTCAGTGCTACCCATGTGGGGGACCCAGAAGGAGGTTCCAGGCTCCTGGCTTTGGCCTGGCCCAGATCTGGCCCAGTTATAGGCATTTTGGGGATGAACCAGCATTTGGAATCTCTATCTCTGTCACACTGTATTTCCAATTAATTAAACATTTAAAAAGAGGAAGAATACTTAGGCTGCTTGCACGTATCACAGTACTCAGCCACGTGGCTCTCAGCCAAAGAGCTGATGGGCAGTCAAACGATAATGCAGAAACATCGGTTGTCTCTAGACTGCAGGTGAGAGCTAAACACTTTACAGGGTGCATGATCTACTTGCCCAGATGTATTCTCCCTCACATCTGCCAGACTCAAAGACTGGAAATAAAACCAAAAATAAATCATTTTAGAGAAAATTGCTGAAACAAACCAGAAAAACTGCAAATGTGTTTACTGGATATATTTATAAAGAGGGCAGTCCTGATGGGTATCTATGACTGGATAGTATGTGGATATTCAGGGCTCCAAGTAATATGCATTCCTTAAATAATCACAGCTCCAGGGGTGGGCGTCAGGTGCAGCAGTTAAGTTGATACTTGGGACGCCTGTATCCTAAGTCAGGGTGCCACATTCGAGTCCTGTCTCCCACACTTCCAACCCAACTTCCTGCAAATATACAACCTGAGCGGCAGCAGTAACAGGGTAACAGGGTTCTTGTCACTTGTGTGGGAGACCTGGACTGAATTCTGGGCTCCTGGCTTCAGCCTGGCCCAACCCTGGCTGTTGCAGGTATATGGGGAGTGAATCAGCAAATCGGAGATCTGTGTGTGCATGTGCCTGCCTTTCAAATAAAATTAACTCACTCATTAATTAAAATAATCACAACTACTAATTTTTTTTTTATTATTTCAACCAAGTATTTTAAAGACCTGAATGACAAAAGCTTCAAGCAAGGTAATGGCTTGCACTGACTGGGTCAAAATTGGGTATGTATTAACTGCATTACACATAGTAAAATGAATGAATGAAAAAGCACTGG